CTGTCGGAGAAATTCTCTCCCTGTTCCTAGAGGTTTTTCTCGCACGCCATATACGCGCGACTCAGCTTCTACTCTACTGATCTCGAGCCGCATTCCGTGGACCATGTGCTCTGATACCATTTCAGGAAACGAAGAACTCTGTTTCTAGTGAGAGAAAGCTGAGAAGGAAAATCTTAGAATGAGTAAAATGAACTCGATAACTTTATTCCTTAGTTCTTCCATCTTTATATACAGACATTACAAATAACAGAAGAATGAATCTTTCTCCAAAACTTGGCTACATTCACCCAACCGTCTGCAACTAACATTGCTGAGCTGACATGAATGTTAATACACCCCCCTCAAGTCTGTGTCGGAAGATACAGACTTGAAATTTGCAATTTCGACATCAGAGCAGCAAAAACTGCAGGTTGCAAAGCCTTTGTAAAAATGTCAGCGAGCTGATTTTCAGACTTTACATGAAGCATCTTCAAGAATCCTGCCTGCAGCTTATCTCGCACAATATGACAATCAATGTCAATGTGCTTAGTTCTTTCATGAAAAACTGGATTTGAGGCAATATGTATCGCTGACCTGCTGTCACAGAACAAAGTTACAGGATCTGGCATTGTAACTCGCAAGTCCTTCAACAAATTCGATAGCCAAATGAGCTCACAGGTTGCATTAGCTAAAGAACGATATTCCGCTTCTGCCGAACTTCGAGATACTGTAATCTGTTTCTTCGATTTCCAAGAGACCAAGGATTCTCCGATGAAAACACAGAATCCAGAGATTGATCGGCGAGTGTCTGGACACGATGCCCAGTCAGCATCTGCAAAAGCCTGCAACCGTAAATCTGAGCTGGCAGAGAAGAAAATCCCCTGCCCAGGATTATTCTTCAAATACTTTATGATTCTATTCGCTGCCTTCATATGTTCAACAGTTGGTGCTGAAAGATATTGACTGAGCTTGTTAACTGCAAAAGCTATGTCAGGCCTTGTTATAGTGAGATATAAGAGTCGCCCAATCAATCTTCGATAGCTCGTTATATCTTCCAATAGATCTCCAGAATCTGATCGAAGCTGAAAATTTGCATCCATTGGTGTGGATACAGGTTTACAACCCAGAAGACCAGAATCTTTCATTAACTCCAGACAATACTTTCGTTGACAGATTGAAATACCCGACTTAGATCGAGCTATTTCTAATCCGAGAAAGTATTTCAGAGGTCCCAAATCCTTGATGTGAAACTTGGTATTCAACAGATGCTTGAGTTTATCCACTGAAGCAGAATCATTGCTGGCTATTATAATATCATCCACATATACCAGTAAAGCCAGAAATGTCGAACCAGATTGCTTTACGAACAGAGTATGGTCTGCCTGCGACTGTTGAAAACCATCAGCTAACAAGACACTTGCAAACTTACAGTACCACTGCCTTGAAGCTTGCCGTAGCCCGTATAGAGATTTCTGAAGCTTACATACTGCTCTTGCTGGCAACTCTGTACCAGAATCAGGCGTGTATCCGGGAGGAAGTGACATATATATTTCTTCCTCAAGGTCCCCATGTAGGAAAGCATTTGTCACATCCATTTGCGTGAGAGACCAATTATTAATAGCTGCCAAAGCAAGAAGTACCTTGACTGTTACTAATTTTGCAACTGGAGAAAAAGTATCGATGAAGTCCACTCCCTCTTGCTGCATATAGCCCTTTGCTACAAGCCTTGCCTTGTAACGCTCTACTGATCCATCAGGCTTGCGCTTGATTTTGAAAACCCACTTGCAACCCACCGGTTTCTTGTGATCAGGGAGACTTACCACAGACCAGGTTCCATTCCCAACCAAGGCTTTAAGTTCTGTGTTCATAGCATCCCTCCATTCTGGGGATATAATGGCTTCTTTATAGGTTTTTGGTTCAGTTTCTGAAGTAATATTGAGTATAAAATTTTTGTATTCTGGGTTAAGGTTGTGGTATGTTAAAAAATCGGATAAAGGAAACGAGGTAGAAGAATTGGTCTGAGAGGAAAACTGATAGCATTGGTAATCCTGCAAATAAGCAGGTGGTTTGGTAAGTCTGGTAGGTCGAGTGTTTATAGGTGGTTCTGTATTATTTGGTTCAGTTTGATAAGGTGTTGGGTCATTTTGGTTCTGTAAGTCTTGGTCTAAAGGAACTGATAAAGGTACTGAAATGTCAGGAATGGGTAATGGTAGTATAGTTTGGGGAAAAACAGTGAGCTGATCTGTTGGTTCATGGGTCTGTAATGGGAATATGTCTTCATGGAATAACACATGACGAGAAATACTCACAGTATTTGTGTCGAGGTCTAAGAGTTTATATCCCTTATAGCCCGGAGGGTAGCCAATAAACACAGAAGCTCTTGACCTCGGTGAGAACTTATGCCTGTCTATTGTTTGAGTAGAAGCATAAGCTAAGCACCCAAACACTCTGAGATGATCATAATCAGGTTCTTTCTTCTGCAATACTTCATAAGGTGATTTATTCAGCAGCAATGGTGAAGGAGTTCGATTAACCAAGTACACAGCAGTCCTGATACAATCACTCCAGAAACATAGAGGAAGATTAGACTGAAATAACAACGCTCGAGCTACGTTCAATATGTGTTGGTGCTTTCTTTCCACAACTGAGTTCTGTTGCGGAGTGTAAATGCAGGAATAGTAGTGGTAGATACCCTTTTCTTTGAAGAACTCAGTGAAAGACAGCTCTGGAGCATTATCTGACCTTACAGCTTTTATTTTCTTCTGAAATTGTGTTTCCACAAAGGTTACAAACTCAGGAACGACCGCTAACACGTCACTTTTCTGTTTCAACAGATACACCCAAGTAGTTCTAGAGTGATCATCGACAATTGTTACAAAATATCTATGACCTTCTGTGGAAACAACAGAAAAAGAACCCCATATGTCTATATGTATTAGATCAAAAGTAGAAGAAGCTAGGTTATTATGAGAGATGAAGGGAAGACGCCTCTGCTTTGCCAAATGACAAGTATCGCAGTGCGTGTGGTCAGTGAATTTGCTGAGCTGAAGGGTGGAAGAAAGGTTCTTTATTTTCTGGAAAGATGGATGTCCAAGCCTTCTATGCCAGACCATGGAATCGACATTGAAGGCATTGCACATGGATAGCTGTTTGGGTAATGAAGGAGATTCTGAATTGAGAAGGTATAAGTTGTTGTGCAACTCAGCCCTCCCAATCCTCAAGCCCTGAGTAGGCTCCTGAAGCAAACAAGACGTGGGGGTAAAATGAACTTGTAAGTTTGTGGTCTGTAATAGGGAAGAAATACTGAGGATATTAAAGGTAAAAGAAGGTACATATAGAACATTTTGTAAAACAATATATCGATTGATCATCACCGTCCCTGCCTGAGTGACTGTCAAACCAGAGCCGTTAGGTAAGCTAATCGTTATAGGTGATATGGTCCTTACATCACTCATCAAGGACTTATGTGCACAAACATGTGTTGTGGCTCCTGAGTCTATTATCCAGGTGTTATGTTGCTTTCCAGCAGATAAGACTGCAAATATGGGCATATCAGCAAAAGATGAGAGTATCGAATGATTACCAGACGGGGGAGTAACCTCTGGTGTTCCGTGTTCTGTAATAGTTGGTCCAGAGACATTCAGAGCAGCACCAAGCTTGACAAAAATCTCCTGTAACTGAGCTGGCGTCAACGAACCAAACTCTGAAGCAGCATTACCATCAGAATGATTTGTCACTACATTAGCAACAACACCTCTGTTTTGAAAACTCTGATTTCCATTGAACTTTGTCGGATTTGGTCGCACCGGTGCTGATAAAGGCTGTGAAGTCACAGCAGGAGTCTTGTAGCCAGGGGGATAACCATGGAGTTTGTAACATTTATTCACCGTGTGTCCATACAGTCCGCAATGGGTGCATAAAGGTCTCTGTCGATTCTTGTAATATCCACCATTCACTGCAGCAACCATCTCAGATTGATCTGGAGGATTTGTTGAAGTCTGAAAAACGACTGTTCCACTCGAAGGATTCGCTTTGATTTGTTTCTGTTGTTCATGCTTGATCACAATACTGAATGCTTTTGCAAGGTCGGGAAGAGAATCCATCAGGATGATGTGATCCCTTACTGGCTCAAATACATCATTTAAACCAAACAGAAATTGAAAGACGAAATCCTCTTCAAAAATCACTTTCCACTTCTGATCAACTGCACAGTTGCACGTACCACAAGTGCAATAAGGAGATATTTGTACAGACTTCAATTCCTCCCAGATTGTAGACAATTTGGTATAGTAGGTGGAAACATCATCAGAACCTTGTTGAAGGTGATGAAGTTTCTGCCTGATCTTATAACGCCTTGAAATAGTATTCTGCTGGTACATATTCACCAATTTTGTCCACATTTCCGAAGCAATCTTGAAGTACAAAAGGTTTTCAGAGATCTGTTCTGAAACAGAATTCAGGATCCATGAACATACCATGAGATTGTTCCGATTCCAATGTTTAGAATCTGGATCCGTGTCTGGTGGTTTGGGAAGAGTTCCTTCCACAAAGCATAACTTGTTCCTTCCTTCCAGAGCCATGGTGATGGATCTGTGCCAGGAGTTGAAATTGATACAGCCAATGAGGCGATTGGAGACGAGAATCAGATTCATATGATCATTTGTACCGAGAAAGTAGGGACTGTAAGGATCGGTGATTGGTGCCGCCATTTTCAAAGAAAGAGAAATCAAATTTTCTCGAGAAAATGAAAGAATTGAGAAGAATTTCTGAGAAGAAAAACACCGAAACAGAATTCAAAACAAAATGTGCTCTGATACCATTTCAGGAAACGAAGAACTCTGTTTCTAGTGAGAGAAAGCTGAGAAGGAAAATCTTAGAATGAGTAAAATGAACTCGATAACTTTATTCCTTAGTTCTTCCATCTTTATATACAGACATTACAAATAACAGAAGAATGAATCTTTCTCCAAAACTTGGTTACATTCACCCAACCGTCTGCAACTAACATTGCTGAGCTGGCATGAATGTTAATATTGAACTCGCTCGCATTGTGTAAACTAGGGTTTTCCGTGGCGGGTTTTTGGGCTTGCTCCTCGAAATCCATGTTCCCTAAGCCGTGCGGAGGTTTTTGTTGGACGTTCGGCTGCGGCCTTGGCTTCGCTGGAGGAACCCTAGGGTTTTACTGAGAGTGTACGGCGCAACCGTAGTATCTCGCTGCCCCCATTGCCAGCGAATGGTTAACTTTTGGGCATTTCGTCCAGTGGGATAAGATGCGGAGCTTCGCGATGCCGATGCTTTTGTTGTGTCTTGCTCTTCATTTCATCAGCTCATTTCCCCTTTGCTTCGGTACGAGTTTCCTATTTTTGACCTTCAGTGCTTCTCTTGTGTTTGGTTGCTGAGAAAATCAGGAAGCACAACCCGGAGTTTAGTTTTTCCTCCCGCTTGTGATTAGGCCCTTTAAGTGGGAATTTAGTCGTTGTGAAGCTGAAGGTTTCCGATTGCTTGCGTCTTAGCTGACACCGGGACTGGAAATAGCAAGTAAAAGTCAAAGGGCTATCTTTGGTTGTCTGAGAATGAATCTTGAGCAAATATTATATTAATCTTCTTAGTTGTTCCATTGAGAAATTCTGTTGCTCAAAGGTGGAAGAATATAGTGAACATGACCTATCTTTCATACTGTTAGCATATTGGCATGGGGATCTTTCTTACCTGCAAAGAAAATGTAGCTTGAATACATTTATAGGCCTCCCCGTATATAGAAACTGCTAGCGTGTAGCTAATGAGCTTGCTATCGTTCGCAGCCAGGCTATTTCCAATGGGTTTTTCATTTACTCGATCAAGATCGCATCAAATGCATTTTTCTCATCACCATCATCCTCCCGTCTCATCCATTGCCCCTGCACCTTCACCAAGTCAGCAAGGTAACTCCTTGATCACACAGTCAAAACATGCCATTCTTGTGAATTTAATCTGTTTGATAACGAGTATGTGTTATCCTCTTTCTATTATCAGCATTGTCTCCCCACTCGAGCATCAATACCTTTCCAAGATGGCATGGTCGTCACCATCATCGCCATTGGCATGTAAGACCCAAAGTGACCGCACCTTCACCTTCAGAACATAGTAATTCTCTCTTTCAGGTTGATTATTTGTCTCATCTTGCATTCTTATGGCAAGGATAATCCTCTGTTTGCGTTTCTTGCTGTAATGCAAACTGTGTTATTGTCTGGGACTTCAGATAAAAAAGACATAATCACTCAACTGTTTATTTTCCTGTATTCTCACAATGCTCCTTTTTTTTTTTTTGCAGATTGTGTGCAGACTTGCGGGGAGCCTCTCACTTCAACCCCCTATGGTTCACCGTGTGGATGTGTTTTCCCCATGAAAGTTGAGCTTCTACTAAGCGTTGCTTCCTTTTCTATTTTCCCAGTGACAAATGAGTTAGAGTTTGAGGTTGCTGCTGGAACATACTTGGAACAAAGCCAAGTGAAAATAATGGATGCTAGTGCTGACAGTGAAAATCAGGGGAAAACGGTCGTGGATATTAACTTGGTTCCACTCGGAGAAAAGTTTGATAACACCACTGCAATTCTTATTTACGAGAGATTTCGACACAAGAAAGTGCCTCTGAATGCATCTGTTTTCGGTGATTATGAGGTTATACACATAAGTTATCCAGGTAATATAGTCTGAATTCTTGAAACCCTAATTTCTTGGTGTTTTCATATTTTCATTCTGGTTGAAACATTTTACCTGCTTTTCAGGACTGCCTTCTTCTCCTCCGTATGGAGGTCTCCAGGTAAATGCTCCAACTGAAAGTGCTGGAGGTCTGCCTGTAAACATAGTCAACAAAAACTCGAGAATTGGTTTTAGAACGATCGCCATCATTTGTTTGTCTGGTTTCGTGCTCATTCTGGTTTTGGTTGGAGCTATATCTATAGTTGTGAAGTGGAGGAAATTTGGAAACTCGTCAAATGCTGTTGGCCCTGCATTTACTTCATCGATGAATAAAAGATCTGGTGAGTTTTCTCTCGTGGGCTTTTAATGTTCATTCAAATTTTGATTTCCGTCTTTGTTTTGTGACTTTGAAAGAAAAAGGTTTAGGCCTTCTTCTTATCCTTTGAATCAGTCCTTAGTATTCTGAATCTCTAATTGCCTTGCAGGCCATGGATCTATGTTATCCAACAGCATCAAAAGCTCGGGATCAGTTTCTTTCATGTCCACCATCACCATGTGTGCTTTATCAGTTAAGACCTTCACAATCACCGAGCTTGACAGGGCAACTAAGAAATTTAGTGCCAAGAGGATTTTGGGCGAGGGTGGATTTGGTCGTGTTTATCATGGGATTATGGAAGACGAAATGGAAGTTGCAGTTAAGTTGCTAACAAAGGATAATCAAAATCAAAACCGGGGATTTATTGCAGAAGTCGAGATGCTAAGCAGATTACACCACCGGAATCTGGTGAAATTGATTGGTGTATGCATCGAAGACCGTACAAGGTGTTTGGTGTATGAGCTTGTCCACAATGGCAGCGTTGAATCCCACTTGCACGGTACATAATTCATTTACCTCTCTTGCAATCTTAATTTAGACTTTGTTTCCTGGTAATGAGGTACTGTTATTTCTCATTGTTACTATCATTATCTTCAAAATCATTTCCTTTTTACAGGTGTTGACAAGGAAAAAGGCCATCTTGATTGGGATGCAAGGCTAAAGATCGCCCTCGGGGCAGCGAGAGGACTGGCATATCTCCATGAAGATTCGAACCCTCGAGTAATCCACCGAGATTTCAAGGCCAGCAATGTTCTGTTAGAAGACGACTTTACCCCTAAGGTCTCAGATTTCGGATTGGCGAGAGAAGCAACAGAAGGAAGTCAACATATCTCTACTCGAGTCATGGGGACATTCGGGTAAACGCCTATATCTATTATCTATCGAGGTTTGATGTCCGGTATGGCAATGCGTAGGAATTGCCCATGGAATAATGCTCTTCTCAAATTTCTTCAGGTATGTGGCTCCTGAATACGCAATGACAGGGCATCTTCTCGTCAAGAGCGATGTCTACAGTTACGGAGTGGTTCTACTCGAGCTTCTCACGGGAAGAAAACCGGTAGACATGTCTCAACCTCTGGGACAAGGAAACCTCGTAACATGGGCGAGACCCTTACTGGCAAAGAGAGAAAGCCTGGAGCAGCTGGTGGACCCCACGCTGGCGGGAACATACAATATCAATGACATGGCCAAAGTAGCGGCCATTGCCTCTATGTGCATACATCAGGAGGTGTCACACCGGCCATTCATGGGCGAAGTGGTGCAGGCCCTGAAACTTATATACAAAGATGCTGATGTTGATGCTGATGTGGATTATTGCAGCCAGAAAGACTCGTCGATGCCGGACTCGGACTTCAATGGGGAACTTGCTCCGTCGCATAGCAGCTGCTGGTGGAACGGGACACCTCGGTTAATTTATTGGCAAGCTTCATCTTTCATAACAATGGAGTACAGCTCAGGACCGATGGAGGATGTGGAGAACAACAACAACAACAGGCCTTTGTCTGAGTCGAGCATGCGTAGAGAAGGATTGTTGATGCCGAACAGGTCGGGACCCTTACGGCCTGTACGCAGCAGATGGAACTTCTTCCGATTGCGAGGAGGAAGCATGAGCGAGCATGGCAGATGACCAGCTTCTAGACGGCTTGTTCTGAGGAATTCGGGTTGCGAAATGGATAAATGTGTACATTTGAGGGTAGAGAAGAAAATCGAAAGAGGAAAGCCGTCGAGGTTCAGAACACGTGAGCTTAGTTAGAACTTCACTGTTTGGTCTGGGTTTTGGTCGGAACAAAGGGGAAGATTGACTAATTGAATGAGTAGTGAGTGGTTTTTTGTTAGAAAGAAAATTCCGTTTCTTATGTTTTTACTACCAAAAGCGTTGATTGTTTTTTTTGTTATGATAAAAATAAATAAAAACATATTTTATTTGGAAAGTTTCTGTTAATTTTGACTAATAACGGTCATTTTAAATTTTCATTCAACAAAAGCATGGTTTAGGCACAAAATCTTTTCTAAGATAAAATTGAAACAAAACAAAGGAGAGGGAAATAAACAAATGAAAAATAATCCATAAAGCTGACGCAGCGAACACTCTCTCTCTCTCTCAAACATTTTCCGTCACAAAAATCACGAAGAGATGCTCTCCTTCTCACACCTCCCTCCTCTCTCTTCCTTCTCCGCCTCCTCCTCCTCCTCCTCCTCCTCCTCCTCCTCCTCCTCCTCCTCTTCTTCTTCACGTCAATTCACCAGGTCTTGCGTTCTTCACACTTCCCAGATTCTGCGCTTCCAAATCTCCCTCTCCTCTTTCTCTCTCCCTCTCTCCGGTTCTTTTGCTCATACAGATATGTGATGAAACTTGTTTCGCTGCAGTTTCAGGGTCACCATGTCTTCCTCAGCAGTCGATTCGATCCCTTCTCTGCCCGATAATCGCATCGTCGTGCGTTTTTGACGATCCTACCTGACTCGCGTCTGATTCGTGTTTGGATCGATTCGAGCGTTCTTGCTGAAACGGAAAATGCTGTCTCGTGTGGTTTTCGCAGCTAGGTTGTGGTTCGGTGTCTGTTGATTTTTTCCCTAAGCCCGATGACAAAATCAGGAGCACCAGCTTGAAGGTGCTCTACTCGCTCTCCGTGACACTTGGTCTCCTAATTTGGTACTTTTGGGTTCGAGTCTTTTCTGTAATTCTTTGCCTTATCAGTTCGATCCTAGTCCAACTATGCCCATTAGTTGTTCTCCGGACACGAATCCCGATTCTACTGTACTCGTTGACTTGGGTTCACCATTATTTTCTCTCGTGATTCAAACTGGCAGTAGTCTGTAGCCATGAACCCTTCAGTTGTCCCTTTCAAGTTCTTTAAAGGGTTAGATTGTAGGAGATATCTTATAGGTTTCTTTGGCAGTAGAATCTGATTGGTCTTGTCTAATGGTTTGCTTTTTCAGGTGCAAGGAGGTGGAAACGCAGGAAATGCCTTAACCTGCTCCGCCCGTCTGGGATTAAACCCGAGACTGATCTCTAAGGTACGGATTTCTCCTCCCCTTTTAGATACGATTGGAAGCATAGAATGGCAAGAAATGGTTTCACAATTGAATTGCTTATTTGTGGAGCAAACTATGTATATGCGTGGAATGGTGAGAAATGGTTTCACTATTGGGTTGCTAACTTGTGATAGGTTGCTGAGGACTCCCAAGGAAGGGGAATACTAGAGGAGCTGGAAGCTGATGGTGTGGACACTTCTTTTTTGGTGGTAACCATACAAGCCTCGCAGCATGGTCGAACTTTGTGATATTTGTACTGTATAGTTCGGTATCGTTATTTTGTTTAATCTCATGCCAGGTTTCTAAAGAGGGCAATTCACCTTTTACCTATGTCATAGTTGATGAACAAACGTGAGTGCTTTCGCCTATGTGCTGGATGTTCTCTCATTATTTTGTTCATGATTCAAGGAGCTTGAGTCATTTTATTAACAGCTATAGTTGATAATAAGTTCCTCTGGTTTCATATGCTCTCATCCAGCTGACTTGTTTGTGTCAGATCCATTGGTAGGTAATAGGAAATATATTTATATAGAAACGTGATAGTTTAATGGCATGAATTCGAGTCCTCGGCTAGATTATCCTTGCAGTCTTTGACTTTTTTTTGACCTGGAATGTTTTCAGGAAAACCCGTACTTGTATTCACACGCCTGGATATCCACCCATGGTTCCAGCCGAGCTTTCTCAATCTAGCATGCTATCGGCTCTGGTTTCATATTTAAACAAAAATTCACTAAGTGAAAGAATAATATTATTTCCGTTGACAAATGATGTTAAGCTGCAGAGATCTATATATTTAAAACTGTCGACCGGAAGAGAGGCAAGGATTTGCATCTTTACCCTTATAATTGGTTTATAAAGCGAGCTTTGTCTAGAGACATTCGTTCATATGCTTCCTGATCATGCCCAAGTACCCTGAAATAATAAAAAAAAGTTATTATGCTGTCTGCTTCATTTTCTCTTGTGCATGTTGTGTTTCTCCAGAGCAGGCGGCTTGCAAGAATATACCTATTTTAGTGGACGCAGAGAGGAAAAGAGAAGGATTAGATGATCTACTGCAACTAGCCGATTATGCTGTCTGCTCTGCAAAATTTCCTCAGGCAAGTCAGTTATGTTTCTGGATCTGGGTCGGCACGCTTGTTAGGAAGCTATTGAACACTCTGTTTTAGCCTATTCAGTTTTGCATATTTTGGCGATGAATCTCACCAATCACAATAGAGGAAAGCATTGTAAATCCCTTGATTTGCAGGCATGGACGGAGGCACCTACTACTCCAGCTGCTCTTATTTCAATGTTGTTGAGGTTACCAAAACTGAAGTTTGTGATTGTAACCTTAGGTGAAGACGGGTGCATAATGGTCCAGAGATGTTTAGAAGGTAAATAACTGGCTTCCCATGTCATTATTCTTAATTTCCTGTCATCAATTTCTCAGGAACTGAAAGTCAATCAGTAGGCCCAAAACATAATTTTTAGGTGTTTCAGTGTTTGGTTTTTATACATCCATGGATCTTTTAGCTATTTAATATTTGTTGTTTAGAAAAAAAAAATTGGATTTTGCTCCGGTCTGATGGTATTTCTGGCGTTGAGCTTTTGGCTGTTGTAGATGCAAAAACTTATCGTGGGATGAAATTTCTGCCATTTGGGCATTTGCCAGTTTTACAGATTGTTTTGGTTTTACTCCATTTCATTGTCAAAAGAATTCGCAACCAAAGGAAAGTCTTAACTCATTCTTGAATCTGTCAAAATTCATCAGAGGCATCAGAATCTGAGGAGACAGACGTAGACAGCCTGTTGGAGACTCTGAAGCAAAGAAAAGACGGATCCGCCATGAAAACCCCAACATGTGTTTCGTCGGTAAGACGAACTCTCTCTGTCTTGTCTCCTCTTTTCCATCATAAGAACACCATCAAAACCTTCCATTGTATCTGTATCTTCTCTTCAGTCCACGATGAAACTGAAGGCAGACGGGGTAGGAGCTGTGTGCGGAAGGTTGTTTCTGGGAACGGCTGAGAAAATTCCTCCAGAAGAACTGGTCGACACCACTGGCGCAGGAGACGCTTTCATTGGAGCCGTTCTGTACGGTACGTGACTTGCAAGATGCAAAATGTGTGTGTATACAAAAGTCATAAACGCTTGTTTGCTTGATCTGTACTGTAGCCATATGTGGGAGCATGCCCCCGGAGAAAATGTTGCCGTTTGCCGCTCAGGTGGTAAGTCTTCACAATCCCATACAACTTTCATTAGAAAGTCTCCCTCTTTCCGCATCAGATTCTTTTAAACCATAAACACGGTAACTAGATCTTAGGTAGCATTTTCATAGAACCCCTTTTGTTTAATGCCCGACTTTTTTATTTTTATTTTTTTGGGTTTGTTCCAATGAAGCATGGTTAATGTAAAAGTATCATGCGGAATGGCAGGCTGCGTGTGGCTGCAGAGCCCTGGGAGCTCGGACGGGTCTTCCCCGACTTACTGATCCTCGGCTCGCGCCCCTTCTACTCTGATAATTTCACTCGCTCTCGGTCCGTCTGTTTGGTTCCTTTTATTAAACGCTAAACGCTAAACGCAAAACGCGAAAATGCTTTGTTTAAGCTGAAAAGTTAATGATGATGGGGTTGCGTTTGCGTTGCAAAACTATGACAATGTCTCCGATAATTCTTGACATCGACGGATTCAACTTTCCATCGCCATCGCATCATTAATTTTAAATTAAATTCCAACATGTGAACGCAACTACAACTTTCATTTCTCGTTTCCGTCCGTCAAGGCGTTCACTTGGTAGTGTTTTTTTATATTTTCCCCCTGACCCCCCTAAAATCAGATCGTAAGGCCACGATTGCACCGTTCATTCTACACACGCGTCATCTCGACCGTCCATTTGATCCCGCAGACGTACGATTCTACGCCAGGTCAAAAATGGAAACCACGCGCCATCTACGTGCCTTCTTCACTCTCTCTACCTGTCCATGTCGAACCGGTTTAGGACAAAACCGAACGCGTGAACCAAACTCGCTTCTCTGATTGGCTGATACTGTGGGTCCCACTCCCTGTTGACGGCGAGATGATCGGGCGCGTGAGTGTAACGCCCTCCCCCCACCGCCTCTAAAGCGACGGCGATAATATAAAGGGTTTTCGTAACCGTCCAATGGTAAACGGACAATATCTATTAGTGCCACGTGGACTTATTTTATTGGGCTATTCAGCCAAACCAGCTGTTATGCAGTGTCAGTCTCAAGATCTCGTCTCCTTTATCGCTTAATTACATTGCTTAGAGTTAATCATCCACCGTATTCACCCAATTGCCCATCCACTCTTTCGAAATTGCAACTATACCACAACATTTTTTCCCCTTTCATATTTAAACAAAAATTCACTAAGTGAAAGAATAATATTATTTCCGTTGACAAATGATGTTAAGCTGCAGAGATCTATATATTTAACAATTATCCACTTATTAACTATTTATTCTGTTTGTATATATCTAGATTTCGCACCTATTTTGAGGATAAATAATGAAAATATAATTTTCGCAAGCATTTATATAAGTATTAGAAAACCATATTTAAATAAAATTAGAGGGAAGAATTATTGAAAAAGGTTATAAGATAAAACAATTGATCATTTTTATTTTGGAAATGTATCGTAAAACAATTAGTTCATAATTTTTCATCAAATCTCATTCCATGTAAATACAGAATATATATACACATTATTCAGATACTATTAAAAGTGTTTCAAGAAGTTAAGATAAGGTAAGATTATATTTTTAATTTGAAAATTTTATTAGTAAGAACCAAGAATAATAATAATGTGATTTGGTGCGGTGAAAAAGGAGAAAGTGAGAAAAGCAAAAGAAGAAAAAGTGTGATATTTGCCGCTTTGTTATATTTGTATTTTCAATTTCAAAACAAAAGAAATTGATTAGATGATATAAGGGTAGTTTCGGAATTTTCGGTCTTAATTAACGCTTGATATTTAGCTTAATCACACAGTAAAAGCTCCAAGAAGACTAAATCTCCGTAAAGGTGGAAGAGGAAAGGGGGAAGAAAAGAAAAAGAAAATCCAAAAGAAAAGAAAAAATCATCAGCAAGAAAAAAAAAAAGAACGACAATGTCTCTAAAAAAAAAAGAGAGAAGAGACACATAGAGGGCTTATACTTTCTTCTTCGAGCAGATTTGAAAATTTTTTCTTGAAGAGGGTTTAGCTTCTCAACCTTTTGGATTCGATCGAGAAGCCGTGCTTTGTTGATATTTTCTTTGTATTTGCTTTGGGAGCTGCAGAGTTCGTCCGCAGTCGAGGAAGTTAGACACATTTATTCATCGCCACCGTTTGGAGTGGATGATCGTCTGTTATTACACGTAGATCCGGTGGCGAGCAAAGAGTTTCTGAGCCGATAAATCTCCGGCGGAAATGGTACCTTTGATTTTCTGGGATCATCTCCGTTTACATCCATTTGTTTCTCATTCTCATTTTGATTTCGGGATTTGTCTTAATTTAAGAGCGCGTGCGATTGAATTTCTGTGTTTTGCTTTGACGTGGTTCTGTTGTTGACTGATCAGTGATCGCAATACAATGAAGGGGTTTTCGTTGTTTCTACTCGATTGACTTTCTTTTGATCTGTCCCTTGAAATGCTGCATTTTTTTAGATGTCCAAATATGGTGTGATGCCCTAGCTGATTCTCGGGGGCTATAGACCTCCGTTGATTCATAATTGACCAGAAATTGATGCTGCAGGACTGATGTTATAAGATGATTGAGCGGGGCATCTTGTTAATCGATTTTCAATTTGTTGTTCTGGGTTTTTGTTTAGTTTGGTTCTGATGTCACTTGAATAAAATTTGCAACAAATGGAACACTTCTACCAAATTATCTGTCATCATGGTATTAAAGCTTTTAAATTTTCTTTCTCATGATTGATTTTCTTCATGTGATGCTCTCGGGTTGGTAAATGCATTGTTTTTTTGTTTGACAATCCTAATTTTGAGGGGTTTGGCTCCTGCCTGTAAATGTACAAACATGGGAGTAAGGGATATTTAGAATGTTTTTTGTGAAGTGCAATTTTTTTTGTGTGTTTTTAATTTGTCGTTGCAGTAGATAACTGATCGATTGACCCTCAGTTTATCACATAGCATGAAGGCGAAGATGCTTCCCCTGTATCTTGGCTGCAAATATTGTGGTGACTGTAGAGTTATTTCAATTGTTGGTTTTGCAGGCTTGCTCCACCACTACAATTGGCGCTTTTGTCTGGGTAGAAGATCCGGAAGTGGCATGGATTGATGGTGAAGTTATCGAGGTTAAAGGAGAAGATATAAAGGTCCAGTGTACCTCCGGGAAGACGGTATGCATAGCAGATTTGAATCTTTAGATGTCAGCTATATTCTGCAGCATGGACTTTATGTTTTTTCTTATATTTTACCTAGTTAGGTTTCATTTACGTGAATTCGTTGTCACCATTAGCAGCTTTTTTCTTATCCTGAGTCCAAGCCTGTTTGTGTCTCGTAAATGCCAATTTGACTTTTCTAAGCCTTTTTTTAATCATAATTTTCAGGTCGTTGTTAAAGCTTCAAAAGCATACCCGAAAGATGTTGAAGCTCCACCTTCTGGAGTGGACGATATGACAAGGCTAGCGTATTTGCATGAACCGGGTGTACTTCAAAATCTGAAAGCAAGATATGATATAAACGAGATATATGTGAGTGCTCTGAAGATTTTTTTATAACAAGTTCATTAAAAATTTATTGCTCCGTTTAGTGGAGATTCTCAAATTATCCTATTTATCTGCTATTATATGATTTTCCGTTGTGAGTCATTGGCGCTAAAATGTGTTCTTGTTTTCCAGACTTACACAGGGAACATTTTGATCGCTGTGAACCCTTTTAGAAAACTACCCCATCTGTACAATAGCCATATGATGGCACAGTATAAAGGTGCAGCATTTGGAGAATTGAGCCCCCACCCTTTTGCAGTAGCAGATGCATCCTACAGGTGCGTCTGTTCTATTTTTGGACTTGTTTCTGTTTGGTTCTATTGCTGGTCATTTCTTGGTATCGAATCCTTTTCTTGATTTCCACTGGCTGTAGACAAATGATACACGAGGGAATAAGTCAATCAATCTTGGTCAGTGGAGAAAGTGGCGCGGGTAAAACAGAAAGTACTAAGTTACTCATGAGATATCTTGCATACATGGGAGGGAGAGCTGTTTCTGAAGGAAGGACAGTTGAGCAGCAGGTTTTGGAGGTTAGCCGTGGCATTTACTTTAGCTTTATTGTGGACCTTGTAGTTTGTCTAGAGATTTTCTGTAAGTTGATTGAAGATAAATCTGAGATATGTTTGCTTTATGTTTTGTTTTTTATGCAGTCCAATCCTGTTCTAGAAGCATTTGGAAATGCAAAGACCGTCAGAAACAACAATTCAAGGTGGGGATATGTGTGTATTCACTATTACATTTTTCATGTTGAATATCTATGGACGAATTGATTCATATTTGTGGTTGTTATCATGTTGCAGTCGATTTGGTAAATTCGTAGAGATTCAGTTTGACCAGGGCGGAAGGATATCAGGAGCTGCTATCAGGACTTATTTGTTGGAGAGATCACGGGTTTGTCAGGTGTCAGATCCTGAAAGAAACTATCACTGTTTCTACATGCTTTGTGCTGCACCACCAGAGGTAAATATACCGTTTCCTTCTTTTTCGTGTGCTAGTTTAGATTTTCTAATCATTCCTCCCGCTAGAGATGCTGAGAATATGACTAAGATTAGAAATAGCCATTGATCAGGCCGTTCTTGATTCCATTTTATTAAATTAGTTTGACCTTTTGTTAAAATTTCGTTAATTTCTGTTGGGCAATGTCATTAAAGGTTTTATCCAGATATTTTCTCATTTGCTTCTTGTTTTTTGACCAGGAAGTAAAAAAACTGAAATTGGCAGATCCAAGAACATTTCATTATCTGAATCAGTCTAACTGCATTGAGTTGGATGGGTTAGATGATTCTAAGGAATATCTTGAAACGCGAAAGGCAATGGATGTTGTTGGGATAAGTTCAGAGGAGCAGGTAATGTGTATGTCCTTTTGGTAAAAATTGTATGCCCTTTTAGTAAAAATAGTGATATCAGCAAATAAAACTTTCTGATATTTCTTTCTTTCCAGGATGCAATTTTCCGAGTTGTTGCCGCTATTCTCCATCTTGGGAATATTGAATTTACAAAAGGAAAAGAAACAGACTCGTCGGTTCCAAAAGATGAAAAATCGAAGTTCCATCTGAAGACTGCAGCTGAGCTTTTCATGTGAGTAAATAATCAAACTGACACGACTTTAAGATGGGAAAACCTCCTTTACTTTCCAGAAAACTGGTTTCATTAACTATGAGATAATGTGAGAAGACGCTGAAAGATCCTGATACGTTGGTTTTCTTCAGGTGTGATGAGAAAGCACTGGAAGATTCTCTTTGCAAACGTGTGATTGTGACACGTGATGAAACCATTACCAAATGTTTGGATCCAGATTCTGCGGTGCTCAGCAGAGATGCATTGGCAAAAATTGTTTACTCAAGAGTGTTTGATTGGTATATGACTATGTGTACTCTAATCCCAGGACATAATTTCTCGATGCCTGTGTCTGCAATTTTCTGATGTCTCATTCAGTATTATCCACTAACTTGCTTTATTGCTTTTGCAGGATTGTGGACAAGATCAATAGTTCAATTGGCCAAGATCCTGATTCAAAGTACTTGATTGGTGTCCTAGATATCTATGGATTTGAGAGTTTCAAGACGAACAGGTGCTTAATTGGTATGCCTTTTGTTTCATAAGGGGCGGAAACAGGTTTAAGGTAGATTTTAAGCTCATATGGAACACAGGTTAAACTTGGATCTCAAGGTTTTCACTTGGGCGTTCTGTTGTTTTGTTGGCTGGCTTTCTATTAATCTCTGATATCTTGAAGCAATGAATGGTGCAGTAAATTTGACTAACTCTAACCTGGTACGAATTATCTTGGTATTGAATTGATCAACAAGTAACTAGAGCAAACAAGCATATTAAGAGTTTCTTAGCTGGTGACATTTCGGTTTTTGACAAGTGAAATTTTAGGAAAACGCGTCTCTTCTTATACAGATATTTTGTATCGGAGTGAAGTAAAAGACTTGAATTTCTGCTCACTTGTTTTTTCCTTGCACAAATGCTTAGTATTGCATGGGTTTTTGCAGTTTTGAGCAGTTTTGCATCAACTTGACGAATGAGAAACTTCAGCAACATTTTAATCAGGTTTGTCTGAGGCTTGTCCATTCTTCAGGTAGTTTCCTTTTCTTCAGCCGATTCAGCTCCTAATTAGTGATCCATGAATTTCTTGTTGAGCAGCATGTCTTCAAAATGGAACAAGAAGAGTATAAAAAGGAAGAAATTGACTGGAGCTACATTGAGTTCGTAGATAATCAAGATGTTTTGGACCTTATTGAGAAGGTGCACAGTTTTACTACATTTTGCCTCCTATATGTTACATAGTATTATCTGTATACTTACTTGGCCATTGCCGTCATCTTCTTCTCATCTTACAGAAACCTGGTGGTATCATTGCTCTCTTAGATGAAGCTTGGTAAGCGTATGAACTCGAATAGCTATTGCTATTGGGGGAATTTCTCTATTTTGTATCTAAGTCTTTAATCTCTATTTTGCAGTATGTTCCCAAGATCAACACATGAAACATTTGCTCAGAAGTTGTACCAAACATTCAAAAATCATAAGCGATTTAGCAAGCCGAAATTAGCTCGTAGTGACTTCACAATTGACCATTATGCTGGTGATGTAAGTAAAATTCTACTTCAGCATATTGAATAAATTATAATATGATTCTGCTGAGGAACAAAGTTAAGGTTGCGCTGTACCCTAAAAGAAATGAGTTGTTTTTTCAGGTCACTTATCAGACTGAACAGTTTCTGGACAAGAACAAGGATTATGTTGTTGCTGAGCATCAGGCATTGCTAAGTGCTTCTAGATGCACCTTCGTTGCAGGTCTCTTTCCTCTTTTGGCGGAGGATTCTAACAAACAGTCAAAGTTCTCTTCTATAGGTTCGCGATTTAAGGTGCTGTATGACAATCTATTTTTGTGCAAATAGTCTCTCTGATTTTCCCAAATAAACTTGGGATTAAGGCGCTGTTGTTGTTGTTGTAATCTCTATTTTATTGAAGCGTCTTTCTTTCTTAATCTTATTCTTGCTTCGTGCAGCAACAATTGGTATCATTGCTTGAAACTCTCAGTTCTACTGAGCCTCACTATATTCGTTGTGTGAAGCCCAACAATCTTCTCAAACCTTCAATCTTTGAGAACCAAAATGTTCTACAACAGCTACGTTGTGGGGTGAGATTCACATGCTTTCTTGGTTTCCCTAAAACAACCTATTCTTCTTATTACTGGCCTGCAAGTTTAATTTTTTTTATATGAATCCCTTACAGGGTGTGATGGAGGCAATTAGGATTAGCTGTGCTGGATATCCCACCAGGAAACATTTTGATGAATTCCTCGACAGATTTGGTATCCTTGCTCCTGAAGTTTTGGATAAAAGGTATGGCTCTCTTTGATTCATAGGTAAAAAGCTTACCTAGAGTTGTTTCTCACTTTTGAATTTTTTTTTGGCTAGTTCTGATGAGATAGCTGGCTGCAAGAAGCTTCTGGAGCAGGTTGGACTCCAAGGTTACCAGGTAATTAGATTGGTTCCTTAAGTTCGCATACTTGGGTATGCAACTGGGCTTTTTAATCTTTTGCAGAATGCTTGTTTTGATTGATCCTGCTGTTGTGTAAAGCGTCATGTTCTTATTTTGCAGATTGGTAAGACAAAAGTTTTCCTCAGGGCAGGGCAGATGGCTGACTTAGATGCTCGGAGGACTGAGGTCCTAGGAAGATCAGCCAGCATCATCCAGAGGAAAGTCCGTTCTTATTTGTCCCGCAAAAGCTTTATTATGCTTCGCAAGGCTGCGTCAAATATTCAGGCTGTATGCAGAGGTACTTAAGGATTAGAAATTTTATTCTGACTTCAATATCCTGGAAATTCAAAATGTTAACCTGTTCATACATTGTCTGTTTCTTGTTTGTTTTGTACAGGACAACTTGCTCGGCACATCTTTGAGAGCTTGCGCAAAGAAGCTGCTGCTTTGAGGATCCAGAAAGCTTTGCGGATGCACCTTGCTCGGAAGTCTTACAAAGAAATTTATTTTGCAGCTGTTTCTGTTCAATCAGGTATGCGTGGAATGGTTGCCCGTGACAAGCTACGCTCCAGAAGGCAGACCAAGGCGGCAATTAAGATTCAGGTGATTTACCCTTTTGTTATGGAAAATGATGAAAATCAACATGCTGTTTTTTATTTTCCTTCATACAATTTTTTTTCCATTTGAGTTTCTTCTGCAATCTGTGACTTGGAGTAAGTTCTCTTTGCATATACCAGAGCCATTGCCGTAGATTCTTGGCTCAGTCGCGTTATAAGAGGCTGAAGAAAGCAGCAATCGTGACACAATGTGCATGGAGAGTGAGGTTAGCTCGAAAAGAACTGCGGAAGCTTAAGATGGTGAGATCTCCTTCGTGCTTTCATGATTCAGATTTCATTCTGAGTTAGTATATAAATTGCAACACCTCAGAGAATGTTTGGTTTAAAGATTAGATTTCAAGATAGTTCTTTTGATGCAATTGCTCACCTGGAGCTATATCCCCATCTTGATCGTGAAAACATAAATAGAAGGTGCTTGCCTTTTTTCAAAGGGTAAACTGCAACTATAAGATCTTCTTAATTTCTTCAGGCTGCAAGGGAGACAGGAGCTCTTCAAGCCGCGAAGAATAAGCTTGAGAAGCAGGTGGAAGAACTCACATGGAGATTACAGCTTGAGAAACGCATGAGGGTCAGATTAAACAGAATACATTTTTTATTGTTTTGCCTTTCATGATAGATTTGTTTTTCTAAACTTTGGTTCAACTTTGACGTATCTTTAATCTGTTCATGCGGCTTTTAATTCTGCAGACTGACATGGAAGAAGCTAAAACACAAGAAAATGCAAAACTGCAATCAGCATTGGAGGAAATGCAAACTCAGTTCAAGGAAACTAAAGTATCTCTCTTGAAGGAACTGGAAGCTGCCAAAAAGGCAGCAGAAGTCTCCCCTGTGGTCCAGGAGGTTACTGTAGTTGACCAAGAACTAGTGAAGAAACTTACAACTGAAAACGAAGAACTCAAGGTACTCTCTCTCTCTCTCTCTCTCTGTGTTTGTTTTTTAAGCAAGGATGTCTGTGTTTTGAATTATTGGAAGAAAAGTGTGGTATTTCATAATCATAGAATGCATTTGCTAATTCTCTTCATTATATGCAGTCCCTTGTGAGTTCATTGGAGCAGAAGATTGATGAAACTGAGAAAAAATTCGAGGAGACAAGTAGAATCAGTGTGGAGAGGCAAAAGCAGGCTCTAGAAGCTGAAACAAAAATTGTCAACTTGAAGACCGCCATGCACAAGTATTATCTAGAGATCTCTGAGCTATTTAATTTACCGAGTATTTCAAGATTCCCATAACTGACTGACCCTCAATATGAAATCTATTCCTTCTCTCATGTTGTGTTCGTCTGCAGACTCGAAGAAAAAATTTTGGACATGGAATCTGAAAACCAGATTTTGAGGCAGCAGTCCCTCTTAAGTGCACCAATTAAGACATCATCTGGACATCTTCCTCCTTCTCCTGTTAAGGTAGACCAGTGAAAAAAATTTAGGAATACTTCTCATTTACTTCTTTTTGTCCTATTTATGATATTACAAATTTGTTATTGTTTCTTTCAGAGCTTGGAAAATGGTCACCATCCTAGTGAAGAGAATCGTCTTGATGTAATAATTTATTAACATATACTTTTGTCAGTGGAGATCTAGCAATCATATTTTTCCATTTCCCATTTGCCTTTATATATTTAAACGCCTTTTTTGCAGGGCACTGAGCCTGCAACACCAGCAAGGAGGCAAGGAACAGAATCTGATGCCAAGCCTAGAAGATCCCATATTGATCGTCAACATGTATGATGTTTAGCTGAGTTACTCCTTTGTATGTTTCTGATCAGTCAGGAATAAAGAGAGTTAATTTTCTTGCTGCAGGAGGATGTCGATGCTCTTATCAACTGTGTGATAAAAGATATTGGATTCAGCCACGGGAAACCTGTAGCCGCATTTACTATATACAAATGTCTGCTTCACTGGAAATCATTTGAAGCGGAAAGGACGAATGTGTTTGATCGTCTTGTCCAAATGATTGGTTCTGCTATTGAGGTACCAGATTTTATTATCTTAGTCTTTGTTTTTAACAGTGTTTGTAATAAAATTGGTGGATGATGCCCTTGTTTTCTTGTGAAATTTCTGAAGGAGAACAATGCGTTACCTTTTAAATTAATTTAATATTTACCATAGTAATTAATTGTTTACTGATTTCAGAATGAAGATGATAATGCTCATTTGGCATATTGGTTATCCAATACTTCGACCTTACTCTTCATGCTTCAACAAAGTCTGAAAGCTGGTGCAACTGCGACAACACATCGAAAGCCACCTATCTCCACCTCCTTGTTTGGAAGAATGGCCTTGGTATATAAACTTTTTTTGGCCCTATATTAATGTGTTTTGTCTCTAGAGAAACAATCTTTTCTCAAATTGTTATCTTTTTCTTCTAATTTACCAGGGTTTTACAAATGTCTGCTTCACTGGAAATCATTTGAAGCGGAAAGGACGAATGTGTTTGATCGTCTTGTCCAAATGATTGGTTCTGCTATTGAGGTACCAGATTTTATTATCTTAGTCTTTGTTTTTAACAGTGTTTGTAATAAAATTGGTGGATGATGCCCTTGTTTTCTTGTGAAATTTCTGAAGGAGAACAATGCGTTACCTTTTAAATTAATTTAATATTTACCATAGTAATTAATTGTTTACTGATTTCAGAATGAAGATGATAATGCTCATTTGGCATATTGGTTATCCAATACTTCGACCTTACTCTTCATGCTTCAACAAAGTCTGAAAGCTGGTGCAACTGCGACAACACATCGAAAGCCACCTATCTCCACCTCCTTGTTTGGAAGAATGGCCTTGGTATATAAACTTTTTTTGGCCCTATATTAATGTGTTTTGTCTCTAGAGAAACAATCTTTTCTCAAATTGTTATCTTTTTCTTCTAATTTACCAGGGTTTCCGTTCATCCCCTTCTTCAGCAAATCTTGCTGCAGCAGCAGCTTCTGCAGCGGCTGCAGTGATTCGGCCCGTTGATGCAAAGTATCCAGCTTTGCTTTTCAAGCAGCAGCTTGCAGCATATGTAGAAAAAATTTATGGAATAATTCGGGATAACCTGAAAAGGGAGTTGCAAACTTTGCTTTCGCTATGCATCCAGGTGTGTTTATTAGTACTTGTTTTTTTATGCAAATGGTAGTATGTACACATTTTTTGCTTTGAATGTTTTATTCTGGCTTCTGATGAGAATAAGTATCTTTAGGCACCACGAACGTCCAAGGGAAGTGTGTTACGATCTGGAAGGTCATTTGGCAAGGATTCTCCTTTAAACCACTGGCAGGGAATCATTGAAGGCCTAAATGCACTTCTGAACACACTACAAGAAAACTTTGTACGGAAATGCATAGAACTCGAGTCTCTACTCTGTATCTCTTTAAAATGTCAGGAAATTCTAATGGCTCTTCCTAGTTTCAGGTTCCTCCAGTGCTTATCCAGAAGATATTTACTCAGACTTTCTCATACATCAATGTGCAATTATTTAACAGGTAAAAAGATTGTTTATTATCTATTATAAAATTAGACATTTCCGTGCAGAGCAGATTTTAATGGAGTTCGTTCTATCTGTAGTCTTCTCCTACGGCGAGAATGTTGTACATTTAGCAATGGTGAATATGTAAAATCTGGGTTGGCGGAGTTAGAGTTATGGTGCGTCCAAGCAAAAGAAGAGGTTTGCCCTTGTGAAATCACCCTTCTCGGATTCTTGATCTTAAGTGATTTATCTTTCATAAAATTTTGGTTCATGATGCCTGCCCTTGAAGTGCAGTATGCAGGCTCATCCTGGGACGAACTTAAACATATCAGACAGGCTGTTGGATTCTTGGTAAGTTTATATTATTTGAAGCTGAATGTATAAACAAATTCGCTTCTCTTTTCCTTCTCATTTTTCTCTTTTGTTAAAAGTTGCATTTCTCATCATGTTGAATTGGCTTTTCACCAACAGGTCATCCATCAGAAATACAGAATCTCGTATGATGAGATAGCAAATGATTTGTGTCCGGTACGCTCTTTCTCAATTCTAATATTGATCACATATGCATATGCATCACTAAAAATACCGATTGCATATCCATAAATGTTTGGATATGGCCACACACATAAGCACGTGTTTTCATGGTTATGCTGACACCATTTTCATTTTGTTTCAGATCCTTAGCGTCCAGCAACTTTACAGAATATGCACACTGTACTGGGATGACAGCTATAACACAAGAAGTGTATCCCAAGATGTAAATTTCCCTGAGGAAATAGTGTGCTTGTTCCATCCACGAAGATAGCTTTGTTCTAACACTCTGACTCTAAATTATCAACAGGTCATTTCAAGCATGAGGGTACTTATGACAGAGGATTCGAACAATGCTGATAGCAGTGCCTTCTTGTTAGATGATGATTCCAGGTACAATGACCAACTCTGTGAATTAAGAAAGACAAGAAGTCTCTCAAAAGCATACAAGCTTGTTGATTCCCTGATGAATATCAAGTGTTAAAGTATGAGAAAAGAAAAACCACTGAATTTTTTCCTTGCCCAACTGCTATCTAGTTATGCATTTTTATACCCAAGAATTTGAGTTCTCATAATGGAAGAGGCTCGGTTAGGAAATAAACTCTTAAGAGAGAGAGAGAGAGTGAGTCTGAAAGATGATAGAATGCAAGACAAATTAGGACTTCCGGAAATTTGTGATCGTTTTTTTCCTAACTCTACCCCTGCTCATGGAACTAACGAGCTGTGTCTTTCTTGGTGTGTAGCATTCCCTTCTCCGTTGATGACCTATCTAGTGCAATTCAAGAGAAGGACTTTGCTGAAGTGAAAGCCGCAGACGAACTCCAAGAGAATCCAGCTTTCAGTTTCTTGCTATAATGGTCAGATACCAGATGAATTTGCAGATGGAGAATGTTCCCACCTTCAGTTTTATGTCAAAAGGTGGAGTGCCCTTCAAAGGCGAAAGGAACAAAAAAAAACAAGAACATCTCACCGGAAAATCACCAAATCCATTGTTCATCCCTCCCCATTTTCGTAAGAATTTCTTATTCTCCGATTCGTTTATTGTTTTGATTGTCTCTGTTGGTCCCAGAAATTTTCATGAAGTTTGTAGTTTTTGCTGGGAGAAAAAGAAAAGGGGAGAGGATCTTTATACATATGGTTGTTCTTTGTTGGTGTGCAGTGTCTTTTTTTCTTTTTTACCCTTTCTATTTACTTTCAAATCAAACTACAACATTTATGTTCTTGGTGGCTTTAAATTCTTCTGTTTCTGGTTCATATTGTTATAGCAAATTTTGTGTTTGGGACACACCGTATAGATGGGGGTCTATGGAGTTGTGTTCCCACCCACCCCTTCATGTGTTGTTTTTTTTTTTTTTGATTTTGTACAGATAGAAACAAGTTTGTTTGGAAAAAAAAATTCTCTACATGGTCATTGTCTTTCATGTGATCTGTATATATCCTTCTGTGTGGAGGTTTATTTTGTTTTGTTTCTTTTTAATTATAAATTTTAATAAAATTTTCTCCACAAAAATCTAAAATGATCCAAATCTCATGCACTTTTATGTATGTATATGTATATGTATATGTATAAAATCCATATGGTGAGAACTAAGCGAGATGTTCCTCTAAAAGTCAAACTTTGCTCTGAATAATTATTTGAGAGTTTAGCTTCGCTGTAATTGGAAATTTGGAATCATGAAACATTAAAAAAAAAAGGAAGATCGAGCACGACAGGGTAGGAACATGAAGCTTTTCTATATGGATTTTATTTGACAATTAATTATCAACATGCAATTTTATTTTATAAAATTCCGAAAAACGTGTCGCATAATCTCATATATTAATATTTCAAAGCTATGGTCCAAGATCTCAATATTAACCGAATAATCTCCGGTTAAAATTGGTAAAGATTTGCATTGTATTTTGTCCGAATATGTTTATAATATATATATATATATATATGTATATATATATGGAATAACACAATCGATGTAAAATTTCATTGTCACTTTGATTTATGGAGTTTTACCTTCCAAACAAATAAAAAAAAATCATACTGTTATTGTCTAAATGAAAACAACATATAGAAAATGCCAAAGATGGATGGGAAATATACAACTGGCAAATGAAGAATGAGAGATGATTATAATTCCAACGTTAGAAAAGGTGAAAACTATGAGTACGATCGATCCTGCGTGCAGCATCATAGAACAAAGGATCAAAATCCATGTGGGATCGAATCACTCTCTCATATTTGGCATGAAGATTAGGGTTCATAGAGATCATATATTGGTGTTTCATTTGGCCATTTGTTGCTCAACACTAATAATAATAATAATAATAAAATTATTGGATGAAATAAATTTTATTTCCAATTCAGATTCGAATTTTTACTTGGAAAAACACATTCACCTAGATATTTTCGATTAGTCGAGAGATATAATTGGATTAAACATTTTATCAACTTTTGAATTATAAAAAAAAAACATTCATTCAAACCCACTAATTTAAGCTTATGTTTGTGCACATGTTTCAAAAATGCATGTTGACATATACTTACATTCGCATAGATACACACATATATGTACATGTGGGAGTGTGTATATATGGGCCAAACTCAAAGCTTCCAAAAAAAGATACATGCACATGGCTTTCCATCTCCATTGCCAAGTGGGTTTTAGTGGGACTCTGAAAGCTTTTCTCATAGATGGGGACTACCCATGACTGATCTTTTGTACTTTCAAATATAAAGCACTATATGAAATGAGCGTCTTCAAGTACCAATGAAGAGAATATGTATATAAAGATAATCTCATATTCCCCCACTAATTTTCGTTAATGTTCTAGATTCTTACAACAATTTTTAATTTGACAAAAAATTACATCAGATTTTAAACATTTCCAAAATCTCACACAAAATATTGAAATGCATTGCAATTTTTTCTATATCCGTAAATAGCATTAAATTTTGTCAATTTTAATGTTGATGTTGCACGTCACATCACACTTTTTTCGTCAAATCATCATATTTCGCCAAATCATAAAAAATATAAAAAAATAGAAATAAAAAATAAAAATAAATAAAGTATTAAAAATTTAAAGAATTTCAAACTTTAATTTAAAAAAAAAATTTAAAAAAAAAAAATACATATACATATATACACACTTATATATATACATATATATATACACACAATTATATACATATACATATATACATCTACATATATATACATACATATTCACATGCATACACTATATATACACATGTAAATATATATATATATATGCATGTATATAATTGTGTATATGTATATATGTGTATATACAAAATTTTATATATATTTATACACATATATATACATACATATTAACATGCATATATATAGTGTACATATTCACATATTCAATGTATATATGGATATATATGTATATATATATATATGAATATGTATATATGTGTATATACATATGTGAATATATATATATATATTATATTTTTGTGGATATATGTGTGTATATATGTATATGTATATAATTGTGTATATATGTATATGTAATTTATTTTTTATTTTTTATTTTTTATTTTTTATTTTTTATTTTTTATTTTTTAATTTTTTTTAAAAATAAAATTTTAAATTCTGTAAGAAAATTTAAAACTTTATTTAATTTTTTAACTTTTTATATTATTTTCTAACGTGTCATAATGATTTGGCGAAATATTATTATTTGACGAAAAAGTGTGATGTGACATGCTATGTAAACATTAAAATTGACGGAATTTAATATCGTTTATGTATATGGAAGAAATTGCAACACATTCTAATATTTTGTGTGAGATTAGAAATTTTTAAAATTGGGTGTAATTTTTTTTCAAATTTAAAATTAATGTAGAAATATGGAACATTAACAAAAATTAGTGGGAAAATATGGGATTACCCAAAAAAAGATTAAACTCTTGGCTAGGCGCTTAGTCACCATCAAAGGTTTTAGCCTCACTTTTATTAAATCTAAAACTCATCCCCAATACTATACTATAGAAAATCTCGTGAAAATACATAAAATTATTATTAACTCCTAAATTATTCAGTAAACTTTAAAATCATGAATTTCGTTAGAATTTTCGAAAAAATACATGGAAATTTACTAAAACTTCACATTATATAAGATAAAGAGCCAAATATCATGTAGTTTTTTAAAGGTCTTTGTAAAATTTATTATTTTAATCAGGAGTTGGAAAAAAATCTGTGTATTATTATGAAAATTTAATAGTAGCTAATAAAATACAATAAATGATAATGATATGTAGGAAGAGACATAACACAATGAAGTCGATTTCATCATTGTCTATGGATCCCCATCGTGTTGTCCATGATAGGTTATACTTAACATATTTAAATAAATAATCCGAACGATATGTTTTGTTTCCCTAACCCTAGTCTCGAACCGAGGTTTATGTGTGCATACGATGGTTGAGACATTTATCCACACAGCTTGGGTCCACGTCAGCATCCCCACCCTACGTGGCTTCCCCAAATTACGCTTAACCCTTCGCGTTTGGACGTGTGGGTCCTACAAGGAGCCTGAGGTGTCGTTGCTTGCTTCAGCCACTCCCACTCTGCATTTTTGGTAATATTTATGAAAAACCGTCATTCCCCTGATTTCGTGGGTCTGAATGAATAGACCATAGCTATAATAATTTCGATTTTAGTTAGGGTTTAAAATAAATATCATATAATAATATCCTCGTTGAAAAATTTCAACGAACATGGCATCTCGTCTATATAAGCACCACGACACTTGCCTCCTCTCTCATTCCAAAACCCAAAACCTCTCTCTCTCTCTCTCTCTCTCTCTCTCTAACCAAACAAAAAACCTTCAAATTCTTTATTAAAAAAAACAGAGCGAACCTCGTTCTTAGTCCCCTGTAAAACCCAAGAAATGGAGAGTTTATTCCGTCTGATGAATCATGAGGATTCCACTTCTCGACGGTGCATTTGGGTCAATGGACCGGTTATCGTCGGAGCCGGACCGGCCGGTTTAGCGACGGCGGCGTGTCTCCGCGACCAGAACGTCCCTTTCGTCGTTCTCGAGAGAGCAGAGTGCATTGCCTCTCTCTGGCAGAAACGCACTTACGACAGGCTCAAGCTTCATCTCCCCAAGCGGTTCTGTCAATTACCCAAAATGCCCTTCCCCGAGGATTTCCCAGAGTACCTCACCAAGCGCCAGTTCATCCAGTACCTTGAGTCCTACGCAAAGCACTTCGATATCAACCCTAAATTCAACGAACGTGTTCGGTCCGCCATGTACGACGAGACCAGCGGCTTGTGGCGGGTCAAGACCGAGTCGACCAGTGACGAGGTCGAATACATTTGCCGGTGGCTCGTGGTCGACCATGACTGATCTTTTGTACTTTCAAATATAAAGCACTATATGCCGAGTGTGTGATGCCACAGATCGATGGATTGAACGAATTCTCCGGCGAGGTCATTCACGCCTGCGATTACAAGTCCGGCGAGAAGTTCGCCGGAAAGAAAGTGCTCGTCGTGGGTTGTGGAAACTCCGGCATGGAAGTGTCTCTCGACCTTGCTAACCACCTTGCTGTGCCTTCCATGGTTGTTCGCAGCTCGGTAAGTGATAAAGTAACGAACTTTTTTCATCAGAAGGCGATATTTTGGGTCTGATCAAATGGGTTAACAGGTCCACGTGTTGCCGAGAGAGATCATGGGGAAATCGACGTTCGAGATTGCGGTGGCGATGATGAAATGGCTTCCTGTGTGGCTTGTCGACAAGATACTGTTAATCTTGGCATGGTTCGTGCTCGGGAACATCGAGAAGTACGGTCTGAAAAGGCCGAGAACTGGTCCGATGGAGCTCAAGAACGCGGAAGGCAAGACTCCAGTGCTCGACATCGGAGCTGTGGAGAAGATCAGATCAAGGGAGATCAATGTGGTTCCAGGGATCAAACGATTCAACGGTAACCGAGTCGAGCTTGTCAACGGAGACAATCTCGACGTCGACTCGGTGGTTCTCGCCACTGGGTACAGCAGCAACGTCCCTTCTTGGCTTCAGGTGAGAAATTTTCAGATTTTTAACCGGGCCGGTCTTGTTATGAAACTATACGAGAGAACAAAGGAGCTGATGGCGTTTGCGTTTGCGTTTGAACAGGAGAGGGCGTTATTTTCAAAGAGAGGTTATCCCAAAACGCCGTATCCGAACAGCTGGAAGGGGGAATCGGGATTGTACGCGGTGGGGTTCACGAGGAGAGGGCTCTCAGGCGCGTCTGTGGACGCTGTCAGAATCGCTCAAGACATAAGCTCTGTCTGGAAACTGGAGACCAAACAGCCCCTGAAACGCACCGCGGCTTGTCATCGCCCATGCATTTCTCAGCTCCTTTAATCTTCACACGTGTATATATATATATGTAGATACATATTGAAGAACACACAAATATGCAGTAGAAGAAGAGATATTAGGATATAATAGAAAGATATTTGTTCGTATTCAGTTTGATTATATTCGTATTGAGTTATTTCAATTTTAAAAAATTATAAATATTCGATTTTTATATTAATTCGTTTCGATTTGGATTTATCTCGTGTTCGGTTTTTATTTATAATACTCATCTTTCAAAATTTATTTTAATTTTTTCGATGATTTTTTTTTTCAGTTTGGATTCGATTTTTTTAATTAAAAAAATCATAATTGTTTGATTTTTATATTGAATTTAATTCCAATGTTGGGTCCAAAATGTAAATGCGACCTTACAAATGTCACGTCAAAGCAGCCCGGCGATGCCATTTTCCCCAAAATGTCCAATGTCCAAGGATAAAAGGCATCAGTCCAAAATAAAAGCATATATATATATATATATATATATATATATGCGAATTATGATATATATGGATACACACGTGTACAAGTCATATATATATATATATAGCATAAGCAATATCCACCTAACAAGTGAATTCCATAAGAAGAAAACTTTGAAAGTTCAACGGTCCAAATACTTAAATTTCATGTACCTATAATATCTACATATAGAACAAGAAATGTGATTGATGTGTATGTATGTATGTATGTATGTATATATTATATATACCGATCACATGTAATCTGTAAGAAGTCGGTTTCAAATAACAAGCATCTCATGCTACCTATTCAGAAGCTACAAATTGAGATGTTGACTAACCCACATCTTTGTCACCTCACTCATATGATGTATATAATATATGATCCCTCATGAAAATTTCGTTACATTTGGTAAAACCCTAGGCTACTATCTTCTAGATTTCAATATGCTACATAGGTCAAATTATATAGAGACATATGTAGATATATGTCCATTTACCGTTTTTATTGTAATTATGTACCGTTTTCAAGGTGTCTTGTACAGTTTTAAAATCGTAGGATTTGGACCGACTGCGGATTTTTTTTTTACCCATATCATATATATATTTTTTTTTTGCAATATAAAATTATCGTATTTTACATTACCATTTGCTCTTTACTGCCACTACTATCTGCTTGAATGCAAATATTATACGTACAGTTTATTCCATGCGCTCCATTATATTTGAATCGTTGTTCGATGTAGAACCAACCATATACGGTCAAATTAAACATTGATTGCAAATTGCTTCGAGCTTATATATTGACGACAAAGAGTAAATGTTAACACATGGGGATTGTCACAAAAATTCCCATCGTCAAAATTCATCATACGTAGATGTTCGAGGGCCCATGCATATATTGTCCAATCTTGTACAGAAACTATGGTTTGTTCCTTTCACATGGCTATGTCTGGTAGATGAACTAACCTACCTTCCAGGAAATCACCATGTCTAAGTTCAAACACAAGAAACGGAGCAGGGGAGTTTTGAGATTCGATTCCATACTTGTTCGGATTAGTTTATTTATTGGTTATAGAAAATTTGTATCATTCCGTTACTATACATTCATTTTGATTTCGATTTCAGTTTGGTTCAGAAAAAATGTTTATATTTTTATTTTAAAAAAATCATTTTTTTCGAGTTTTTTAATATTCGATTTAATTCAGTTACACGAAATTCAAATGCTTCTGTGCTTTGATGATATACCCCGTGGGATTAATAACATGAACTTTTCAATTTGAATTTTAGGAGAAAATAGAAAAATAAAAAATGCATCAGCTTCCATGCATTAGGAAAAAAAAAACTTCGAGGCCCAAACATATAGAGATCCAAAATATATTCAACTTTCACATTTGAAAGGAAAAAGCCTATAAAGGCCCAAATTATAGTAAACGACACGCTCCCAAAAACCAATATAAATTCGCAAGCGTGGCAAGTTTCTTATCACATCCATAACCATTAATAATAAATAAATAAATAAATAACAAAACCACCTATGAACACAGGAAGCTCCAGAGAGACCAATGGCTCTTCTGGTCTGGTCCCAGTCTCTCATTCATCTTTGTCGAATAACCCAAACCCAGAATCCAACGAAACCCTCCACTCGTTGCGAATCTTCCCGCCGTAATTACAGAGAAAGATTTGTTTTTTCTTCCGAAAACCCTAGATTTTGGCCTTTGAATACCAGAAAGCATCGATCTCTCCCTTTCACTACCGTCTGTTTTGCTGCAGATGAGTCTCCTTCTTCTGAGATCAGGTAAACTCGAAAATTTTCATTCTTCTTCTCAGTTTTCCTGATTGTTCATACTGTCTTGTGGTTCTTTGCTGGTCTCTTGAATCGATTTTTGTTCCCGAGAAAAACTCCCTGCGAAATCCAATTGGGGGGGGGGGGGGGCGCGG